TAACTGAATAAGAACGAACAATCAGAGAACATTGTTGAGACTGAAAATCTTACCTCGAACTTTAAGGTGATCAATGAAGTTAACGTATGACATAAAGTCAGTAAGCTTGAAATGAATATGATTCATGCATTATGTACACACGTTCTTTATTTCTTTTCGTCTCACTTGTTATACGTATACCATTTGTATTCGTCACCTTTCGCCCATGATAGACATTACTTCTGGCCACCTATTTCACACGACATGGATTTAAACTCCTTAGAAATAGAATTCATCACTGTTAACGGTACCAAAAATGGAAGCCTCGAACGGAGCTACGATCCAGATCTCGAAACTCGCCGGAGTCAATGACGCTACTGCCACAACGATGATGGCACTGGAGCAACAGCCAAACAACACACACGAAGGAATCACCAGAGATGGAACAGTAGACTGTTTCTATTCGTTCATCGTCGATGGTGCGACTCCGACGATACAAAGACAGTAGAGGGGGAAGAAGGGAAAGAAGCAGCTGCAAATCCGAATCCGACCAAGCGACTCAAACATATTCCACTAGAGGAAATCAAATTCAAAGAAGAAACAGAAATACATTTTTATATAGATTCTACTTCTCTCTTTTTGTTTTTGAAACGTAATTACAAACTAATACTCAGCAGGGATGCAGCAAAGTAAACTCGAATCAAACGGGGACCTCGACCGGAAAACTTCAGCGGCGCTGCTCTAATGTGTATATTCTGATTTGGGCGTTCTTCCTCTTTCTTTTTTGGCTCATTAGTCTTAGCTTTTATAGGTGTAGGGTCTAGGGTTACATTTTGTGTATTTTGTCAATTAGTCCTAGGTCTTTTTGTGTTAAGTCTTTAGGGTCTTTTTTATTTGTTTTTATTCCAAGGAGGAATCTAGAAGTGTCCCTAGGCTTAATGGACTAATCTGAATTGGGCCTAGAATTGGGCTCTAAAACTCTTAAAATTGTGATCCAACACCTTAATCGACTCTCTTTTTTTAAAAAAAAAAATAAGATAAAAATACTACACAATGCAAAAACAAGCACTAATTAATTAAACTAAACATGAAACTATTTTGTATTTTCGAAATTATATAAATATTAAAATAAGGTACTATTTTTGTATTTTTTTTAAAAAATTTTTTTATGAAAAATACATAAACTAAAAATATTTTTTTGTAATTTTTATTTTTCTTGTAATAAAATAAAGTAAAAGAGTAGAAATTAGTTGAAATAGCTATATTAGGCCTAAATTAAATATTTGCATGCTAAAATATAAAAAATATTGGGGAGGGTCAAAAATCACATGTCTGCAGTACGCGTTGGAGGGATTCTACAATTCATTTACTAATTTTTAATTTTTCTTTTATCCTGTTGGATTGCTTCAGGAATTGCACATAAAAGTGTTTGAATTTCTTGCCTTTAGATAATATGTATTATTCAAGATTTTTGAGTTGCATTGTGGCTAATTTGCATTTTTTGTCAAATGGTTGTATAATGAGGGAACAATAACCATAGTTGATTGAGTGAAATAAGATATTTTTCAGGGATTAACCTATTATTTTTGGGCTATAGATTTCCAAAGTGATATCTAGGCTATTATGTTGCAATGCAGGCGTGTGAGTTGTACTTATGTGAAATTATCCCAAAGTTAAACACATTGATTATCTATTTTTAAGCGGATAATATGGTTGTTATTCATATTTGACCCTTTTTTTAAAGTTTATTATTCAATCCTTTTTTTAGTGAATAATATGAATGAATAACTGTTTTTGTTACCTATTTTTCCATCACTACTTGTGGCTCCAAAAGATGGTACAGAAGAACTATCAAATCCTTTTGTCTAGCTAGATGGGGCTTATTAGCCAACTGTAATGCTGTAAACAGTCTGCACTTTTGCTTTGGTTAATCTGTTTCTATGCTTGAAACTAAAGGTGTCAAGAGGCCGGGCCGGGCCGATCGGGTAGAGGAAAAGGGAACCGGCCGGTTTGGGTACCGGTCTGGTTACTGGTTATTTTTTACCGGGTTTACCGGTTTCGGCTTCCCCGGTGCTAAGTTGAACCGGAACGGTTCCGGGCCTAATGGGTCGGGCCGGGCCGGTCGGGGGTAGAGGGAAAGGGAACTGGCCGGTTACCGGTTATTTTTTACCGGTTTACCGGTTCCAAAATTGAAACAGAACAGTTCCGGGCCAGGCCGATTTTATTTAAATTTTTTTTATTTTTATTTTGTATAACAATCGTAATTTATATTAAGATAAAGTAAAAATGTAAAACACTAAAAATTAACGTATAAAAAGAATGTTTGAATAAATTTCAAAGGTTTTAAAAGCCTTATATTTGAAAAATTCATTACGAATTTAAGATAATACAATGAACATGAAAAAAATATAACCTATACTGGAGTGTTGATAACTTGATATGTAAGGATCAAACTTCAAAGGCTTTCATTTCATATTTTCATTGCATAATAATAGTTTAAATTAACTTGTCTAACAAACTAATACATTAAGCTTAAATAAGTCTAATAATTTCAAAATAACACAATTGTCTCAAATCAACTTAAATATTACTCAATAGAATCAAAACTTTATCTCTCTTCCCTTTCTCTCTCGGCGCATTTTAGCGTGCTTTGCTAAAGTGCACTCACCGGAATGGGGAGAGCACGAGGACGGCCATCCAAAGCTTCGAAACATATAGCTGAGGAAGGAAATGGATCCATGGGAGGAAGAAACTCAGGAATTGTTAGAATTGTTACACCAAAAGCTATAATGACTGGGGGTAATGGTACTGTTCCATTGCTCAAAGCTGGGATAAAGGATGATATCACTACTGAAGAGAGGAAATCGGTTGAGGAAACATCAATCAACAAAGGAAAAGCACATGCAACAACAGATCTAGCTATATGGCCAGCTCTACCAAGTCAAAGTGGAGGCAGCAAAGTACAAGAGGTGAAATGGACAACTCCGGTCAGCATTCAACAGGATTCAAATTCAAAAGGAATGGTCCAAGAGCAGATTCAAGTCAAAGAACAGGAAGTAGTACAGATACAAGATGGAAGCACCAAAGGAACAGGAATTCAGAACATAGGAGCTTAAAGGAAATTGCAGCTAGAAACGGAACAAAAAACATGAAGGAATTGGTCGATGCTATTTGAGGAGAACAAATTGGCCAAAAAAGGTATGGATCTGAGTTATGTACCACCTAAAATGGATGAGGATGAAATAATTGTTGAATTGATCTAAGAGGATATTGATAGTGAAGTATCCAAATGGAAATATGCGGTTATTATGTATGTTATTGGTGGATCACCAACGATTGGGGCTATGGAAAGGTTTATAGCTGGGCAAGGGAGCTTTTTTGTTAAACCTAAGGTATATTACCATAAGGAAGGGTATTTTGTGGTGAATTTTTCAAGTCTAGAGGAAAGGAATATGGTGATGTACTCTGGACCTCACATGCTTAATAACAGACACGTAGTAGTTAAGCAATGGACTGTTGATTTTGACTTTGATGAAGAAGACTTGAAGATTATACCAATATGGGTGAAGTTGCCAAATCTACCTTTGAGCTGCTGGAGTGCAAGTGCACTGAGCAAAATTGGGAGTGGTCTAGGGCAGCCCATATATGCTGATGCTTGTACTTCAAACACTGAAAGAATTTCGTATGCAAGAATTTTAGTGGAGGTAGATGTCACTAAGGAGCTACCAAAGAGTATTAAAGTGAAGGATCCTTAAGGGGAGAGTTATGGTGAAAGAAGTCTGGTATGACTGGAAGCCCAGCTATTGTGCAAAATGTATGCGAATAAGACATAACCGTCAACAGCAGCAACAGAACAAAGTAGTAATGGATAAGAAGACAGGGCAACAACAGCAAAGAGCACATGCAAAACAAAAGACTGAATGGAAGCCAATTAACACAGGATCAACATTCCAAAGCCAACACCAGCAGGGAGTGGAAGTAAAAATAAATGAGCAGCAAAAAGAAAGTGATAAGGTAGAAGCAACTGATGAACAATGACAACAAGTTAAAAGCAAGTCAGTAGCTAAAGGGCAAAAAGTACCTGTACCTGAACATCAAGTACAAGTACTGAATGGTTTTAACAGTTTAAGAGAGACAATCCAGGATCAAAATGTGAAGAGAAATGAAGAATGCAGTACAAGTACAGGAGTGGAGGTAGTGGTGGTACACAAAAATAATACAATAGCTTAATGTTAGTAACATGGAATGTCAGAGGGTTTAATAAAGTGTTCAAGCACAAGGAATTAAAGGAGTTTGTGAAGACAAATAAAGTAGAGATTATAGCAATATATGAACATAGAGTAAGTGAAACAAAAGCTGAAAAGATAATTACAAATACATTACCTGGATGAAAATGGTGCCATAATGTATCTGGTACATGCAAAGGGAGAATTTGGGTGATTTGAAACCCAAATATATTGAAGTTTACAATGATAGGAGGCTATGCACAGCTGATTCATGGGGTTGTAAAGAGTGTTGCAAACAATAATGAGTTTCAATTTACTGCAGTATATGATTTACATAATGTAAATGATAGGAAAGCATTATGGGACATGGTAAGGGCCATAGAGAAACAAATCAGGGAGCCATGGTTACTAATGGGAGACTTCAATTCAATCCTGGGAACTGAAGACAGAATGCAAGGCAGAGATGTGCAGGATAGTGAAACAAAGGATTTCATAGAAGTAGTTGAGGAGTGTAATTTGGCAGAATTACCTACAATAGGCAGATAATATACATGGACAAATAGCCATGTATTTAGTTGAATTGATAGAGCATTTGTTAACGATAAATGGATGCTCAATGCCTCCTAGACAAGTACATTCATGAATCCTCTTTTCTCAGACCATTATCCCTTGGGTATTGAAATAAATGGGAAATGTGATAATAAGAGAAGGCCTTTCAAGTTTTATAACTGTATGGCTGATCATCCTGAGTTTGGGCAGATTGTGGAAACTAACTGAAAATGGAAAGTAGGGACAATGGAAGATATATGGCAGAATTTGAAGTGTGTAAAGGCAGCTCTGAAGCAGTTAAATAGCAAAGAATTCATAAATGTTAATCAAAAAATAAACAGTATAAGAGAGGGACTGAAAGAAGTACAAGGAATAATGAAAGATCATAATGCACCATCAAGGCTATTTGAAGAAGAGAAAGAGATGCTATATCAATTGGAGAAATGGGATAAAATTGAGGAGTCAATCTACAAACAGAAGTCAAGAATACAATGGCTACAACTGGGGGATACCAATAATGCTTACTTCTTTGCAAGCATGAAAAGAAGGAAGGCTCAGAACCAAATCACAAGGCTCATTGATAGTAAGGGTAACACCTTAACAGACTATAAATAGATAGAAGCTGAAGTGGTTGAGTTCTACAAAAACCTGTTAGGATCCACATGTGGAAGTATACCTGTCATACACCCTGGGAAGATAAGGAATGGACCAGTGTTAAGCAGGAAACAACAACTGGAACTCATAGCTCCTTTTAAAAATGAGGATGTACTTGAAGCTCTCAAGAGTATTGATAATATGAAGGCACCCGGGGGAGATGGTTTTAATGCTTGTTTTTCAAGAGAACATGGAATATGAATGGAGATGAGATAACAAAGGCAGTTTTGCAGTTCTTTAGCACTGGGAAAATGTTCAAACCAATAAATTGCACAGCTGTTACACTTATTCCCAAAGTGAAGAATCCAACTTCAATAAAAGAATACAGACCAATCTCTTGCTGTACTACCCTATACAAAATCATATCCAAGATGCTGACAAGTAGGATGAGGATGGTCATGAACACACTGGTGGATGAAGCCAGGCAACATTTGTACCTGGTAGAGGCTTGATGGACAATATACTGCACATCCATGAATTGATAAAAGGTTATGGTAGGAAAGGAGTCTCACCTAGATGCATGATTAATATAGACATGCAAAAGGCATATGACTCACTTGAATGGGTGTATTTGGAACAGGTGTTAGATGGACTGTGTTTTCCTAAAAAGTTTGTAGGCTGCATTATGGAATGCATTAAAACAGTGCCATACTCTATTAATATCAATGGCAATCCTGCTATTCCATTTGATGCAAGAAGGGGTGTAAGATGGGAAGATCCTATGTCCCCATTGCTATTTGTCTTAGCAATGGAATACTTGACCAGAAGTTTGAAGAACTTAAAGGATCAACCTAACTTCAATTACCACCCAAGGTGTGAAAAATTAAGTATTATCCAACTCAGCTTTGCTGTTGACCTACTACTTTTCTGCCGAGGAGATAGGATGTCGGTGCAGTTACTATATGAGTGTTTCAATAGCTTCTCACAAGCTTCAGGCTTAGTGGCAAATAAGAACAAGAGCAGCATATATTTTGGAGGTGTTCCAAGTGCAGTACAACAAGAGATTACTCAAATAACAGGGTTCAACACAAGTGAACTTCCTTTTCGATACTTAGGGGTTCCATTAAGTACAAAGAGGCTATCAGTAAGCCAATGCCAACCATTGCTGGACAAAATGCTGGGGAGAATAAAACAGTGGACAGTGAAGTTTCTGATCTATGCAGGAAGACTACAATTGATAAAAAGTGTACTTATTTCTATACAGTCTTTCTGGTCACAAATTTTCCCTTTGCCAAAGAAGACCATTCAACACGTTGAAGGCATATGTAGGAAGTTCCTATGGACTGGTGATACTAGTTCGAGCAAGAAGGCTTTAGTGGCATGGGACAAGTTGTGCAGGCCTAAAACTAAAGGAGGACTGAATGTCACAGACCTCAATACATGGAATAGGGCAGCTCTACTGAAACATCTTTGGAACTTGGGAAAGAAAAAGGATAAGCTATGGATCAAATGGGTGCATGCATACTATATAAAAGGAAGGGAACCATGGGAAGTTGATGCAAAGCAAGCTTCTTGGATTGTAAGGAAGATACTGCAAGCTGGGAAATACTTGAATGAAGCAGGTTTGGACACAGGAAAGGTAATGCAAGATGATTCATTTTCCATTAGAGGAATATACAAGCAACTAAGAGGGGTATTTCTAAAGGTGGGATGGAGTCGATTGCTATGCAATAACAGAAGTTGTCCAAAATGGAAGTTTATTCTGTATGTTGCAATGTAGGGGAATTTATATACAAAAGATAGACTGATAAGATGGGGGATGTAAGTAAGTCCAGAATGTCCATTATGTGAGCATGAGATGGAAAGTCACAACCGTATCTTCTTTACTTGCTCTTTCTCAGAAGATGTTTGGAGAAGATTATTAAAGTGGATGGATATCAGTCAAGAACCAAAAGGATGGGATGAGGAGATCAAATGGGCAATAGAACAGGTGAAAGGCAATGAATCCAAAATCATGTTGTACTGGCTGAGTATGACTGGAGCAATGTATCACATATGGCTGGAAAGAAATAGAAGGATCTTTCAGAAGATTAAAAGAAGCAGTGAAGATATTACTAGACAAATAGTTAGAGATATTCATTGTATAGGCCATAGTCATAGTAGATTGAGGAATAGCTTATAAAAGATCAACTATTATCCTTAGAGTAGTCAGTGAGGAAGAAATGTTACTAAGTTTGGGGATGCATGTCCAAACTTAGGATGATATACTTGTATATATTTACGTGGAAATAAAGTTTAATTACCAAAAAAAAACTTAAATACGAATCTCTGGAGGACACTCAAGACAATTCTTTATATGCCTCCTTAAGCAGCCTGGGCCCTCCCACTTTCGACGAATATTTAAGACTCGACCACAGTTCTTGCACTCTACTTTGCGAACTTCTTCATTTTCTTCTACCACCTCAAAGAGTTCCCAAACCTATGAGCGCACTCCTAGACGCACGGGGCATGATTTAACGTGAATTGAGAATTTGGGTTTGAGAATTGAGAGATGAGTGAAGAAATAAAGAAGAGGAGAGGTCTATTTATATTTTTTTCAAAGGGCTAAATTAGTAAATAATAAAAGTGTTATTAAAACAAATACCCAAAAAGGGCTATTCTTGCAAATTAGCCATTGGACAATGGTCAAAATGGCAGCTGATCGTTGCCAATGGTCAAGATTATTAAAAAAATAATTGAACTAGCTGTTGAAACGGTCCTCTCCGGTCCGGTTAACCGGTTTACGGGTGACTAGACCTTACCGGGTTGTACCGGTCCGGTTAATCGGTGTTCAAATTTTCCCCAGCACAGGCCGGTTCCCGTCCCAAACCAGTCCTGCCCGGCCCCCTTGCCACCGGGCCACGCCGGTCCAGAACTGGGCCAGCCCTGCCCCGTTTGACACCTTAACTTGAAACAGATTAACTAGTCGCCTTATCATGGTCTCATCGATAGTGGTGAGAAATAGGTAGGCTGGGCCAAAGTTAAGACTCATGCTGCATATGTCTTGGCGAATCATGTATGGATTGGGCTGCTCTGAACTGCATACGGTTTAATACGATATCTCATAGATATTGTCCAGCCCATTTAAAGCTACTTGTCGTATTGTCAGCCATCTAAGAACTTGTGATCTACAAATAATATACATACTCCATCCATTCCATTATATCATGGTATTTTAACTAGATATTGAGTTTAAGACACTAATTTGACTTATATAGTACTAACTACTATATTAGTGACAACAGAAGACGATATTAAAGTAATGATTAAAAAGAGAACAAACATTTAATTAAAGTTAAAATCTAAATAGTCTAATGAATTTAAATTCTTAAAAGTTGCAAAAGTCATATAAAATGGCGGCTAAATGATATTTGTGGCCTAAAGCCAAACTTCAATGAGGGGCCCTAAGATTTTTGTTGTAGAAGAAAACTCATAATTTTATTTAAAATTTATTTTTCTAGCTTTTTGAGATGCGAAATTATTAATAATTTGGATTCATGCTGGAGCGTTCGACTACGGAAGCGATTCATCTGGTAAGGAGATTAGTTGAGCAGTACAGGGAGAGGAAGAAGGATTTGCATATGGTGTTTATTGACCTTGAGAAAGCGTACGATAAAGTTCTGAGGGAGGTCCTGTGGAGGTGTTTGGAGGTTAGCAGTGTTCCAGTAGCGTACATTAGTGTGATTAAGGATATGTATGATGATGCTATGACTCGGGTGAGGACTGTGGGTGGTGACTCGGAGCATTTTCCTGTGGTGATGGGGTTGCATCAGGGATCGGCTCTTAGCCCATTTTTATTTGCCTTGGCGATGGATGTATTTTTGCGTCACATCCAAGGGGAGGTGCCTTGGTGCATGCTATTTGCCGATGATATAGTGTTGATTGACGAAACACGTAGCGGAGGTAACGCGAGGTTGGAGGTTTGGAGACAGACCTTGGAGTCTAAAGGTTTCAAACTGAGTAGAACCAAGACAGAATACTTGGAGTGCAAGTTCAGTGACGGGACCCATGATGCAGACGTAGAGGTTAAGCTTGATGCTCAAGTTATCCCCAAGAGAGCGAGTTTTAAGTATCTTGGGTCTATTATCCAGGGTAACGTGAAGATTGACGAAGATGTCGCGCATCGCATTGGAGCGGGATAGATGAAGTGGAGGCTCGCTTCCGGTATTTTTTGTGATAGGAATATGCCGCTAAGACTTAAGGGTAAGTTTTATCGAGTGGTGGTTCGACCGGCTATACTGTATGGGGCTGAGTGTTGGCCAGTCAAGAACTCCCACGTACAGAAGATGAGAGTAGCAGAGATGAGGATGTTGGGATGGATGTGTGGGTGTACCAGGAGAGATAGGATTAAGAATGAAGCTATCTGGGACAGAGTGGGAGTAGCCTCCGTGGAGGACAAGATGCGGGAGTCGAGGCTGAGATGGTTCGAACATGTTAAGAGAAGAAGCATTGATGCTCCTGTTAGGAGGTGTGAGAGGTTAGCCATGGAAAGTTTGAGAAGAGGTCGAGGTAGGCCTAAGAAGTATTGGGGAAAGGTGATTAGGCAGGACATGGCGCTGCTTCAGCTCACTGAGGACATGACCCTTGATAGGAGGGTGTGAAAGTCGAGGATTAAGGTAGAAGGTTAGTAGGTTGTTTATAGTTGTTCACCGATAGTCTTAGTAGCATGCATGTCCCTTCATATTCTTAGATTTTTATTACGTTATGTGGTTTTGTTCGCCTCAGGTATTGTATTCCCTGTTGCTATTATTTGGTACCACTTATCCGTTATCTCTCCCTTTTTCTTTTATTTTCCATCTTTCTTCCTTCCTTGCTTTCCTCTTCTTCTTCTTGCCCTTCCTGAGCCGAGGGTCTATTGGAAACAGCCTCTCTACCTGCATTAGGTAGGGGAGGTCTGCGTACAGACTACCCTCCCCAGACCTCTCCTGTTGGGATCAAACTAGGTTTATTGTTGTTGTTGTTGTTGTTGTTGTTGTAATTGATAATATAGCTAATCCATTTAATCTCTCTTGAGACATTGTTGATCTTAAGTACGGTTTTATTAATTTTAATTTTGAAAAACTTCTTTCTGCTGAGAAAAATGTTACTGGAATTGTTAACATTATTCTATAAGCAATATAAGCATTTGGAAAAGAATCAAGCCTTTTTATATGATTAAGTATATCGATTAGAGTATCATCTTCTACATGTATTATTTCCCTTAAAACTTTTAATTTAGAAAATAAGTCTAAACCATCAATATGAGAGTGACTATTATGTTTCAAAGAACATTCAAGGTTAAGACAATTTTTCTTTAAGTTCTCATCATCTAGAGATCTCAATTTTTTGCCACTAAATAGGAAACCAAAAATATTTTTATACGCTTCAAATTGTTCAAATCTAGTTTGAAGTGAAAAAATAGCTTAGTATACTATGTATAAGAAGTAATCAACTCTAAAAGATTTTTCAAGAGACTTTGTAATTTCATTATCAACATTCTCATCAAAAAATTTCTTTCTATATATTACACGTTTATTACGAAATTCAGGTTCTATATTCAACTCATATGCAATTTTCTTAGCAGAAATCATCGCAGTTACAAATCATTCTTCTCTGTATTTTTTGAAAAAAGAAATCAAACCCCTAAGTTGATCTATGGCAACATCAATATGCATATATTTTGATTGTAAATGTTTGCTAACTGAATTAACTGCAAATAGTATATCATACCAAATAGTCATATCCAGTAGAAACTCAAAATTTTCAAGCTCATAAGTTGCTAAACAACTAGCTTCGCTTTTAGTTTTTGGATCATCACTAACTTCTACTAATTTCAATAAAGCATTTCTTATTTGTGGAGTTTGAAATCGTATTGCTTTAATACTTTCAATATGACTTTCCCAACGCGTTTTTGATAATGATTTAAGAGTTAGGCTGTGTACATTGTCTTTTAAAATTTTCCGTCGCTTAGTAGAAGAAGAAAATAGTGAATATATGCATTGTACTACTCCAAAAGATAATATAGCTTTGGTACAAGAATTAGCCATATTACAAAGTACCAAATTTAGATTATGACAACCACATGGTGTATAAAATGATCTAGGATTTATGTCGAGTAGTCTTTTTTGCACTCCTTGGTGTTTTCCCTTCATATTGGTCCATTATCATATCCTTGTCCTCTTAATTTATCAATATCAAGTCCAATATTTTTTATCTCATCTACAATAACTTCAAAAATACCCTTTCCACTTGTATCATCCACTTTTAAAAACTCTCAAAAAATATTCAGTAATTTTTTCTGGAATTACAGTGATGTCGACATTCTGTAATATAAAAGACATTTGTTCTTGATGACTTGCATCTGGAGTGCAATCAAGTATGATTGAGAAGTACTTTGTTTCTATAATTTTGTCAATGATTTTATTCTTAATATCACTAGCTAATAAATTTATCAATTCATTTTGTATATTATGTGCAAGGTAATGATTATGGATTTCATCATGCTTAATTTGGCGAACATGTTCCTGCATGATTGGATCAAATTCTGCAATCATTTCAATTACACTCAAAAAAATTCCGTTACTTTCTTGATAGATCTTTTTATTTTTCCCCTAAATGCCAAATTATTTTTTCCAAGAGTTTTTATCACGGCAATAATTCTTGATAATACATTTTTTCAGTGCTCTCTATCTTTATTGATTTGTTCTTGAACATCTTTATCAATTGTTTTACTTTTGTGCAATCTCATTTCTAAATCAATCC